GGCAATATGTATATCACCTTTTGTCTTTTCATAAAGAGTAATTAAATCTGTCCTCTTTCCTGTTTTGAGGGATGACCAAAACCGGAGAGGCATATATAGTAATTGAATTATTGAATAGCTGAGTAATACATGAATTTGATGTAGAAGGGAACTCACAAATTATTAGAAAGTAATTGTTCATGTTGCTTTTGCCTGCTGATTTTAACTGAAAGTCTGGTAGAGAAAAGCAAGTGGAAGTACAGCTATTATATAGGAGAGTATTCATGGAAGCAAGACCCTCTACTCCTCAAGCCAGCTGTGGCTGATTCCACTGAGCTCATATTCACCAAACTTTGAGTCAGGGACTTGATCTCAGAGCAGGATGATGTATGAGCAGAGCTAAGCCTCTTTGTGTTTCCAACAGACAATGACTTTGACAAGATTCCCTAATGAAAATTCTGTTTGCCATTACAATGTCAAGGTTAATCATTCATTTCAGATAGATTTCCTGCATTCATTAAATACATTAAGTCCAGGAGTGAATGATGATGTGTATGATTCACAAAATATGTTTTCCTGTTTTAAGAAGTCTATATTTCATAGCAGGGAATTGACTTAAATGGATATCATAATGACAACATGCTCATTCTCATACTTGACATTCTTGTCACATATTTTTGAGTATTACAAGATCCCAGTTAGATGTTTATTGCTAGTGTCATTTATTTATTTTAAATTGTGGTTTTAAAAGCTGACTAATTTGTCCAGTAGTATACAGATAGTAGGTGATTAATACAGGAGTAAAAATAATCATGATGGTATGAAATCTAAGCTTGGGGAAGGCAAGGAGAATGTAGGGTGTGTAGAGTTCCCCTTGTCAACTGACACAGGATCCTGGGTGCAATGTGTGCACAATACAGTGTGTAAAGTGGATGTGTGAAGTAATACCAATAGTTAGATTTGGGAGTTGGAAGACTTGGTTTATGAATAAGCAAAAGACAATGAAATGTTCTCTGTGTTTTCCTTTTAATATATGGAAATGGTTAAGACTGCCTATGTTTTATTTGTTTGACTGGAAGAAAGAAATATGAATAAAACTATAAGAATCCTTTTGGTGAATATCTGGCAACATTCTCCAGAGTAATTAATTTTTTTCTACTCATGGTGTTTTCAAAATTGGAAAGGGAAATTCTTCAGTTGTTCAAAGAAAGAAAGCAATAAAAAGCAAGATAGTCTATCCCTGAGATATCACCCTTTAAACAACCTGCTTGTTTAATGAAAATCACCAGTTGGTTGATTTAATTCCTTCCCTTATCCCCAAATGCAAAGATAATGGAAATGTCCTAGTGACATGGAAGAAGGCTTATGAGATTTAGTAGCAGGGGTAGCAAAGCTATGAATTAATCAGTTAAAAAAAAAATCAAGCATTGCTTCTAAGTTCAATAGCCATGTACTTAGGTCCTAGATAATTTCACAGTTTTTCCTATGCTTACCTTTCATCTCACTGAGGAGATGGAGTAAATGATGCTGATAATGGCTTAAAGGACCAAGCAGCTAAAAAGCACTCTGACAATAACTACAGGAGTGCAAGGGAAAGAGTCAAGTCCTTGTTGTCTCATTGGATCCAAAGAACTACATTCACCACATTCTTTTAAAAGAGATCTAAAGACATAAATAATACCAGTTTCAGAAAACTGACATCAAATGTTTTTGTTTTGTGCTTAACTTGATATTGTCATGTCAAGACAGAGAAAACTTCAAACAACAACTGTTATCTGCTTTTTCATGTCTTCCCTCAGCAACTCCTTCTCTCTCATGCCTCTCTTCTGTATCAAAACATTCTCATTTTTCACAAGCCTATAGAAAATAGCAACATACAAAGATTTGAGAATGCACATCCTCTTTCCAGGGCTTTAAAGATTTTAGGGTACAGGACTGCGATATTTGGGAAATATGCCAGGTGTGTGTGTGTGTGTGTGTTTGTGTGTGTGTGTATGTTATATACATCAAACAATATATTAATATATAAGACTCTCAAACTTTGATACCTGAAGAACTTAAGAACTTAGATTTAGGCTCCAACTTTGGAGATTTCTGTTTCATATTTTGAGAGACTATCATGAATCTGCATTTTAAACAAGCACCTCAGGTGAATCTAATGCATTTCCTTAAAAAAAATAATAAACACTGTCATCATCTCTTTACTCATCTGGCACTTTCCAGTTTTCAAAATGCTTACATGTGCTTATTCAGTTCTGTGAGGTAGATGGGAATGATTATCCCCATTTGAGGAGAAAAAAGAGACTCCGAGTTTAGCAATGATTTCCTCAGTCCCTCATTATAAACCTCCCTTTTGCTCAGTTCTCTGGATACTCTCCTTAGATGACCTTTTCCTATTCTGGTGTTGCCTTGCAAAAGGCAGGGAGCCCCCAAAGCCAAACAGTACTATTTGTGCCTGCCTTGCTCAGGGATGAGAGAAATCTTCTGATAGCCAAGGGGAAAATATAATTTTATTTCTGGAATGTGAACAATTCCCTAATTGACAGTATTACCAACTGATTTTAAGTAATTCCTCTTGTCCCAACCAGGAACACTTTTGAAAATGCATTCAGCTTCACTGTGTGTGTGTGTGTGTGTGTGTGTGTGTGTGTGTTTCATTTTCACCTATCTTGTTCTGTATTGTTAAGATTCCAAGAATGAATCTGCCCTCCTCATTCAGCCACACTGAACTGCTGCAGGGGATATGTGCTTGTGATTGACAGTTGAGGCTCCCTTTCATCAGGGTGTCTTGCCTGTTTAATTTTCCACCTAGCCATATGATCTATTAACCACTATCTGCCAGCCTGTGCTTTGCAGACCTGGCAGTTTGGAAGGTCCAGGCTCCCAGACCCAAGATACTGTTGGGTTGCTAGGCTCAGTGCTTGGTCTGATTAATCTTACAGACCTCAGTCATTCTCTTTGTTCAAGTGAATCTGCTAGGCCCACAGGTTTGTATCCACAACTAGAGAGCTCCTGGGGCTCCATTTTCAGTAGCTTGGAGTGCTTGCAATACCCATTTAATCCTTTAGCACTCCCCTTAATGTTTAGAGGAGAGTTTGTGAAAAGCAGAGATTAGTGGTATTTGAAGACAAGTTGAAGAGAAATTGTAAATATAACTAATAGTCATTCTTAGAACTTAGCATGAATGAAAGGTTACTATTCCTTTTGCATTTCCAAAATCTGTCCTGCTCCGTTTTAACTTGGATGACTCCTCTGCTTCCCTAATGTCAGCTGTAATCACAACACTTCTGGAGATCTGGTTGTGCTCCAAAGCTGGCTGTTGCCTGCCTTTGCCCAGGTCACTTCTCCACCCCACCTCCATTCACTGCCAGTGCAGTTTGCTCCTTTGGCCTTTCTTTTTAGGGACTGAGCCTGCTTTGTAGGTTTCCAGAGGGAACTAAGAAGGCAGGAACTAAGGAGGCAGGAACTAAGGAGGCAGAAGCACTCTTTGTTGTTCCAAAATGTGCTGAATGGAGGTGGGGCCCAACATTGAGAGCCCAAGAGGCCGTTTGCTACTTTCCCCAGTGCCCATTTCCTTGCATCCTAAACAGAGAATGCGATGTGCTCCAGTTTACTGAACTCCCCCACTCTCAACCCCTTCTTTGAGCAGGGTCCTTCAACCTGTCCGTGGATGTGTTCTCGTGGGGGAGGGACCGGACAGAGCAGACCCGAGCTGCAGTTCCCTCTCTCTGCCTCTGAGAATTTCTCATCCAAACCTCAATCACGTAGGATTGCGTAGAGAGGAGAAAAGGGGAGAGACAGAAGACAGAGAGGAGGGAGAGGGTTGAAGGGAGGGAGGAAGAAGGGAATCTGGGAGCCCAGGGCTCCAGGAGAGGGAGCAGGATCTCAGAGCGCTACGCTTCTCTGCGCTCCTGGAGCCCGACACTCCAGCTCGGCCCCACCTGGAAGCTCTCTTGATCTCCTGGTGCAAGAGGGACTCCGACTACCTGCGGGTCCCCGTCCCACCCGCCGTTTTGGTGGCTGTCGCCTCTGCCTGGAGTTTCCTGCGGGGCTAGCGCTCCAACCTAGAGAGCCAGCAGCGGCGCTCTGGAGCCAGTGCGGCTCGGCGCGCTCGAGCCTCAGTTCCATGAATGGGACTCCGCCCTGAGCGCCCCCTTCCGGGCTTGAGGAGGCGGCGGTGGGGGGCGCCCAGCAAATCCACTGCTCTGCGCGGCCACCCGCGCAGCAAGTTGGGCGAGTTGGCGTCCGCCAGCACCTGCCCGCTGGTCTTGGCYCCTGAGTCCGCGTCTGGCCCCAAGGGCCTGGGTACCACGCCAGGTCGCCTCCCGCTGTCGCTTGGGGCGGCCTAGGGACCCCGCCTGCGCCCCCGGCGCCAGACCATGGTGGGCAGCTCCGATCCGGAGCCGCAGCCGCCGCGAGCCTACGTCGCCCTCAGCCAACCSCCGCCCCACCCGAGCAGACTCGCGGGTGTTCGCAGCGCGCTGGTCACTTCCTTCCTCGGCCGGGATGGGCGGCGCGGGACTGAGTGATCGGCCTCGCGTCCGGCGGGTAATCCCCATCTGATCTGCTGCCTGAGAGCTGCTGACTGCCGGGGCGCGCAAGCCTAGGGGGTCCGGGCAGCGCAGCGATGACCTGATCTCGAGCCCGCCAGGGCGCCCCCTCCTTCCCTCCCTCCCTCGCTCCCTCTGAGCCTGTGCGGAGACCTGCTCGGTGCCGCGGCCCCGGGCGGACCATGGCGGGGAGCTCCAGTTAAAGGCGTGTGGGCGCCGAGCTGGAGAGGACACCTTCGGCATCGCTGCCTTTTGAGGGGGCTTATTTAAACTACTGAGTCATTCCAGATTTAGGATTCCCTAAATAATCACCAACTGTGCCCGTCTCGTGCCGGAAAGCAAGCGGAAAGAGAAAGAGCGCCCGCTCTTGGGACCCCGCGGATCGCCTCTCGCGGGTTGCTCCCCAAGGGTGCTTGGCCCTCGAGGATCTCCCTTCCTCCCCCCGCCCCCTTCGCCTCCCGCTCTCTTTGCAGTGCTGCTGGAGGAGAGTCGCGCTCACCGCAGCTGGAAACAGCTGCCCCCGCCCCGAGCCCCTATCCAGACTCCGGCAAACCGCTCCCACTTCGCGCCTCTCAGAATTCCAGAACTCCGGCGGCCGGCCCCTGGAGAACCGCAGCCGGTGCAATGCATTCCGTAGACCTCACCAAGCCGGGACGGACCTCCTAATCTCCAGAACTGCGGGCCGCAGGGAGTTAAATTGCTGCCTTCCTCTCCTTCTCTCTTGCGGTTGGTGGCTTGTTTTCTAAAGGAACGTTTTATCCACTTTTTAGTATTTTCTCTCGGGGGCACCGTACCCTCCTCGGTCCAGACGCTGCTTCGTAAACGCGTTTTCTATGTATGTATGTGTAGATATACTTTGGACACCTTACGACGCTTGCGCCTCTCCAACAGGGGCACGGCTTGTGATTTCGGACACCCTTTAGCTCCTTCCATTTGGCATCCTGAACGCAGTGTGACCAAACTCACTACTACCCCTTGGAAGTGGATCGCCTTGGGGTGCAAGTTTGGGGTGCACACCTACTTCGCAGGAGGGCCTGGGACCGCCCCGCCCCCGCCGCCAGCGGTTGGGGAAGTTTACATCTGGATCTTCACACATTTTGTTGCCACTGCCCAGACTCTGACTAACCTTGTGGGCGCAGGGTTTTCTGTACTGCAGCCTCCTCAAATATTAGCACTGCCTCCCCGCTCCTGCCCTATCCCTCCTTGCCGCCGAGGTCCTGCCCTCGACCCGGCGGAGTGCGATTCGGAGGGCGCCGTGGAGCCTAGGGCCCGGGGCCCGCGCTGAGCTGCTATGGCTGCGGCGATAGCCAGTTCCTTGATCCGGCAGAAGCGGCAGGCGAGGGAGTCGAACAGCGACCGGGTGTCGGCCTCCAAGCGCCGTTCCAGCCCCAGCAAAGACGGGCGCTCCCTGTGCGAGAGGCACGTCCTCGGGGTGTTCAGCAAAGTGCGCTTCTGCAGCGGCCGCAAGAGGCCCGTGAGGCGGAGACCAGGTCAGTAGAAGCCCGGACCCTGGGCTCCCCAGAGGCCGACACCCTTTCCCCCCCTTCCTTAAAGCACCTAGATCTCCAGCTCATGGAAAGAAACCAGGATCCCTTTCATTGGGGCCTTTCCTCTCCGCTAATTTCTAGACATCTCTCTTTCAACCACTGTCTTGTCAGTTAATAGCTTCTTGTCCTATATAYAGGAAAACACTTTATGATTTGATCAATACACAGTTTGACTAGAATGAGAGTCAGATATATAGATACACAAATCCCAAATAGTTTGTAAAGTCTTTGAGGGCAATGATCATCCCATCCATCTATCCATTCAATCATTTTATCACTCTTCTTTTCCATCCATCCAACCATCCATCCATCTGTGGAATATATGTACTCCACCTTGAGCACCTAAAGATAAATCAAGCTCTTCTCCACATCCCTAATAACACCACATGATAGACATTTAGTGGACACCAGGTGAACTTAAATTTAATCTCATCTTGCTAAGTGTTCCTTCATTTTCCTTTCACAGTCCTCTTCCTCTTCCCATTTTCCAGCCACTTTGATGGTTTCCAAAAGCTCTGCTTATAAACTTTTCTGTCCTATTACTATCCTCTGCACCCATACACTTTTGAGACATTATTCAAACAAGATAACACCCACAGTTTGKCCTTAGGGAATGTGAACAAAACCTCAGACTTTATTAGAGATTTTCATAGCATTACCTTTCTGACGAGGATTTTCTTCTTCAACTCTAAACTCAAATGATTATTCTTTGATATATCGCAGCAAAGGGAAATTGGATATCTCTAGTTTTAGTGTGACAGTTCCCAGTCCAAGCCACACCAGTATCCCAGCTTGAGAATGAAAGCAGATTGTCAAGATCTATGCTTCCATCAGACACATTGATCCTGGGTGTGGCTGCAGAGTCAATTGCAACATGCAGATGTTCTACCTCTGGTGTGGAGAACTGAAAGAGAATACTGGGTGGAAAGAGAACCAGTTCTATGATCAGTTGACTAGTTTAGGTTAGCCCCTTAGCAACTCTGGCACAGGTATTCTCTTAGGTTGTAAGAATGAAACACATAAGTTACATTCAAATGGGGTTTAGGATTAGCTTAAAAATTTGGGAAGTAAGTCTTGCGAGGAAGTCACCTTGTTTTGTTTTCCATTGGGTCTTTGTGACATTAGTCACTTCATCAGTGAGCTCATTTTTTTTTTTTTTTATTCTGTGTTGCCATTAGAGTAATAAATTTCAGGAGTAAACAAAAATATAATGAACCCAAGGCAGGAGTTACTAAAGTCTCTTGTTATTTTACATCTAATTGATATGACATGTATATTTTATAAAGTGAAGATTTACACAAACGCTGGAGTTATCACTGTACATGCAACAATTCGTATTGGGGGAAAATAAAATCCTCTGTTTTGTTGCACAGGGTTAGTTTGGAAGCCTTCTCTTAGGGATTATATGGTGTACAAGAAACTTCAAGGCTCTGAACTCAATGTGACTCTTACATCTCTGTCTCTGGTACATTGTTGCACTCTAGTTGGAATCCTACTAAGCCTCCTCAGCTAAAAACAAGGTAACAGGAATGGCAGGTGGACTGTATTTGTGAATGGATAAGATAAACTTATTTGATCTTTGTTGAAGCTGATTTGCAAATGAACAATTTGCAATGCTTAAGTTTGCATGGGAAGGGAGGACTGTATGCTTTGCTTCCTGTGGCCATTTCCCTAGTATCTCATTTGAAAATAAGGAATTTCTGAGTTTATTGGGTTTTTTTTTCCRGTGTTTATTTAATCTGTTTCTTTTTTTCATCTAGTTGGTGTTCATCTTGCCAGGAAGGCTCTTGACTGGTGACTTCTTTACCTAAAGTGTCATGGTAACAGTCTGGCACAGAGATGGCAGGAACTGTTGGGTGCAAGGCAGCAGAAATGCATTTGTATACCATGGACTGGGGTTTGTTCTGAAGCTTAGCTTAGAGGAACTGGAGTGTGGCGTGTGGTAAAGCTTTTGGGGAATATGACAGTGTGCTATTATCCTTACTAATGAAGCCAAACAACTGATTTGTTGATCTACTGTCAGAAGCCATGATTCACGTAGTATATAGGCTGAGCCTATTTATAGAGAGATAGCACTTTCCACATCTCAATTCCACAATGTATTCTTTAGTGGATTGGGAGGAAGTTGTTAAACACCGAAAAGTTCTATTTGAAGGAATCTGTTTTATAAGCACTTTGGCCTTGTAGTCACTTATTATTTGAGTTTTTCTTGAAATCACTAGCCTTTCTAAGCCATACCCTTGCAAACTACAATCTGAGTCACAAATGGTGAAGTGGTGACATGAAATAATTTGCCCTGAATTTCCACTGTGGATTTCTAACACTGAGACACACATTCCACAGACTTTCTAGGAGAGTGCGGCTGAGGCAGTAAGGCTAAGCCAACTATTTAATGGGAAAGGCCATGCTTGTATTTCTGATCCCAGGGCTGATACAATGAGTATCTCTCAATCTCTTTTCTTAGTTCACCAATTTCTGAGAGTGTAATGTTGAAACTTTATAAACCCAGTGAAGATTCTGAAAGTATGGTTCAGGGACTAGATGTTAAAATCAATCTCAGAAACAACATGAAAATGTGGAAACTGGCAGGGCAGGACCTCACATTACATAGTTCCAGGGCCACAGTGGGTATTAGATGCTTCATGAATGCCTTTCTGGAGTAGAATGTGATGTTGCACCCTGGGGTTGTGCAACAAAATCCTGACCCGTATAGATGAGACATCCTAATGCCACAGCAAGATTATATTTTCTCTAAAGTTACACATGTAAGACTGTGGCAAGATTGGGGCTAGAACTACATTTGCTAGATGTTTTCCCCCTATCTTCTTTACAACATAACACAGAAAAGGTAGTTTGAAGAAGAGGAGAGTGTACTCTGTTAAAGGATGGAAATAATTTTATTTATTTAATTTTTTAGGGCTTGGTACTACTATTTTCATTATTTTTTATAATTAGGAAAAATGGTTTAGAGAAGGGAATATACCTCCCAGATGACAGAGGCAAAGGCTAAAAAAGACTGTTGGAACTTCTAAAACAACCAGCTATAGCTACACACGCATTATCTAAATAAATCTAATAGTGACAGCCTATAGGCAACCTAGAAATTATGACCCATTGAGCACTGGGGGAGGGGGGCCATTAGCTCTTTGGAAGTGAATTGTTGGAGACCCTGTATTGGAAGTTTGACTGAGGTCATTGGATCCAGTCCTGGCTCATTAGGCCTTCAGAACTTGTTGGTTTGTTGTGCACTTTCTAATAAAGAGAAGTGAATTCTTATAGTCATTATTTGAGTCATTCTTTACGTGTTTGCTAGAATATGTGCTAAAATGTGGATGCCACTTGATTTGCTGTGTCTAGGCTTTTAGTAGATCCATATGAATTACATGGGTTATTCATTTTAACATTTGTTTTATTTTGCAGAGAAGCACATGTACAAATGACTGACTCCAAAATGATGTTTTAATTTAGAGTTATTGCAGCTAGTGGGTAGCATTCATCATCAACACGGGAAAGTGTTTATAGAATGTCTCAATGTCTGAGTGGCTGTGATCTTGGAGGTCATCCAGTGTCACTCTTTCGCTTCTAAATGAGACTCTCTAGAAAGTACAGAGTGACTAAATGAATCAAAAATTGGAATATTTTAAGGGATCTTGGTGGTTTTATTGTTTTTCTGTATAATTTAGTTTTTCCCTTAAACCAGAACATTAAACAAAAATCATCCTTAGGAAAAATCCCTCACCTAAGAAAAATCAGCTATTTTTCATAATATAAGTGTTTTGTTTTATATGCCCTTACCTTCAAAAATAATGTAATATAAATTTATCTGTGATAAAATAAATCAAAGAAGTGATTGAAATTTTACCAAATTTTCTTGATTTTTATTTGTCTTATTTTTCTGAGTGGTTTTTTTCCTCTTATGAAAATTGTAGTTTATAATGTTCTGATGTTCTTCCAACTTGTTTTGGTAGATGTATGGAATTTAACAGTATTCCTATTCAACGTTTTACTATCAAAGCTTTCCTTTCATATAGAGGAAGAAATCATCATAGAAAATAGAATCTTCAAGAAAAAAGGTAACAAGAGAAGTAAAAGAATGCTTAATCTTGTGACCCATGAATATAAATTAGATTTTTATAAATTGAATAATTTTGGTCAATAGCTAAATCAAAACTTACTTTGTATGAAAAGTGATATTTTACATATATTGTAAGTACTTTGAATTTTCTCTTTCAGAAATATGACTCATGTCTGAAATATAAAATCAGCCTAATTAAGTGATATTTGCCTTGATGTTTGTTTAAAAAAACCAGATTTTCTTTTTAGAAGCTCACCCTAGGGTTTAAGCTAATATTTCAATTTTTTTTCTTCAAATTCGATTTTTCTCTGCAGCAATGCATTCTCATCAACAAATTATATTTCCATTGTAAGAACATTTTAAAATAGCAGGTACTGTGATCTCTTGATTTCTTTCATCCCACAGAGATCTCATCAAGCCATAACTCAGGATTAAGTCTTTAAAGTTTTAATGAAGTTGATATCCTTGAACAGAATTAGAAAAAAACAATTTGCAGGAAATGAGGTAGTCTCTGTATTTGAGAAGGCAGGGAACATTTTTGGAAGATCTTTATGAACTAAAGGGTTGTCTCCTACAACTGTATTTCAAAAAAGTCTAGGGCTTACTCTTGTGCCATTACATTGCTCTTATTCTTGGTAAAAACTATTTTTGCATGGATATTACAGTGTGGATTTGGTTTGGGAAATTTGTTGGTAGTGAAGCACTTTTTCTTATCTATTCTTTTTTTATTATTTATATATGACAGTGGAATGCATTACAATTCTTATTACACACATAGAGCACAATTTTTCATATCTCTGGTTTTATACAAAGTATATTCACACCAATTTGTGTCTTCATACATGTACTTTGGATAATAATGACCATC